GGAGTTTTTTAGATATTTAGACAATGCGTATTAGGGTTCTAGCGACTAATTATTCCGAAGAAAAAGGAATTATGCAAAAAAGCCATCGTATTCTTAAGAGAATAGGAGAACGAGCAAAAATGTCGATACCGGAAGCAGTGTCAGTCTAAATTTAAATTAATTAAACGTTGTTTGTATTTTACAATCATTTACGAGTATTGTGTTTTCTCGATGTTTCCTCGATCCTCTAATTAAGATGAAAAACTAGGCCCCAAATATTAGTATGTATTTAAAAATATAGCTTATTAGTATTTAAAAATATAGCTTATAGCTTATGAGTTGTAATACTCAAGTCCGCACAGAGACTTTGTTGTGTCCAAGTTCAATTTTTTTTTGGTGCCCCAAACTTTTGATTCCTGGGTATATTAAATTAAGCATGAATTTCACTGTTTATCGTCCGTATGTCTACTATCACATTGCAATTTAATGAAAACAGTAAATATTTTTGTCTCAGATATCGCTGCATACAAACACTCTATATTTAAACTTGGTTATATATGAAAAAACGAGAATACAAATAAAAATAAATGGGTTAATATATTTCATCAATAAAATGTTAATTATGAAGACTAGTCAGATCACACTAATTTCGCTTTGCGGGCTTTCTTCTTTGCGAAACTAGAGATGACATTTTGGTACGACAATGTCTTGGCAAGGTCGTTTTCAATTGAAATCACCATAAGGTTAGTAAGGCGTTCTTCAGCCATTATTGATCGCAATTAGGATTTGATGAGAGCAAGCTTACTGAAAGAGCGCATTCCTTCAGCCACTGAAACCAGTATTGTATTAAAAATGCGAAGCAAAATGCAGATCGAAGGAAATACTGACTGAAGATCTTTCTGGTAGATTCTATTAAGCAACTTAATGGAAAATAGAGGTTATATTTGTCCAAAAGTATTTGATCGCTTCAAAACATCTAGATGACGGATTTCTTCAGAACATCTAGATGACGGATTTCTTAATCAACTCCTCTTCTTTTACATCATTTACATAGAAATTTGCCAGAATTTTTCTTTCTAAGTTTTTTTTTATCTCTAGAAGGAGATCAAGAATACCATATGAACGAAAACATATCTGTCGTCTTTTGAGCTGTACCCATTCTTAATCATATCTGCTGGAGCAGCGTGTCAATAGCAACATTAAATACGTTTACCTCAAAACCCATGGATTCGTCTTCGTGGAAATGGGCTGTGTTTATTAACTCGTCAAGGGTGGCTAAAAAACTACCATTATTGTACTTGTCCAGCATTTTTGAAATAAAGATCACATCTAGATTAAAACAACATTAAAATTATTTTATGAATATACACTGCTAACACATCTCGAAAACTTAGGTTTCTCAAAGCTAAGAAGTTTCGTAAAAAACGGAGACAGGAACTTTTTTGTTTGTAGAATCTCTCGGAAAAAGTGCCGGATTTTGAGGTGGTCCATTTAGTATGACTAAATCGCGTTTGATTTTGGATAAAACCTTCTTCCACAAAGCGGGGTCGTTTCTAACTGCTTGATCACCCAATTGAATCGCCTCTTGATCCTAAACTAAAAAAACATTTGAGAGTTGTGGTATGTTTTAAACATCTGCCAATATTAAATAATGTGTTTTTAGAATCTGCAGATATTAAATGACATGTTTTTAAAATCTGCAGGTTCTTTATAAAATAAGAATGCGTCCCAAACTCACCCGATTTCATCTTCTTTAGAGACCATTGAAAAATTTGAAGAGGAAGATAGCTTTCTTGAACTCAAAAGTTCATCAACGCTGTTGGTAGCATGGTCCGTCTAAAAAAGAATTGTCTTTAATGAAAAGTTTTGGAATGAAATTATGAATATACGATTGTGAATAAAAAAATAAAGCTGTTAACCTATACCTTGACTACTTGGTAAAACGTAGATTTATTAGATGCTTTTTTTTTTTTGAAGTTTATTGAAGCGACACTCTTCAGCTTTTTTTCTGCCTTGGGACCCTGAATCATGCTTTCGAAAACTGGACATGACGTTTTACTCTAAGATGTGTGTTCCTTATTTTTAAATAAGAAGTTTTTTATTTGTTTCGAAATCGAAAATAATTTTTAATAAATTTAATTCTCAGAGGAATTAAAGAGAAAAAAAGTTAAATGCAATTTCACAATATTAAACTAATTTTTTTTTAATTTTAATTTACCTCCTCAAGGTCGAGAAGGCCACTACAGACGAGGAGGCTACTTATTTGTGGTAACAACCCTCTCTCAACTCTTTAACTCCAAAACACGAACCTTGACGAACGAAGCCGCTGCGCGGAGAAACGAGTTGAGCGCGGTACTACCAGGGACGTGGTGGGAATCGAAGTTTATGAAGCGAGCGCTCTACCACTACACTACTACCGCATGAATAAATGGTAATTGGAATGAATGTATTGAGAAAGAACATTTGAAGAGTGTTGGAATGAGAGTAACTTAACTGATTTATATAACATAACAATGAAATTGTTTTAAGACAAACTTTTTATTCGGATTAGTGTTATGTAATTCAAATTTTAACTACATTTAAATTGCAATCAGTCATTCCACGCAGAAAAAATAAAAAGTTTTCCATTCCATTCCATTTTTTTTTTTTAGAGCTGGAAGATACTGGAAGAGAAAAGATGAAGATTGTAGCGATTGACAGACGACTTGAAAGATTGTAAATTTTATGAATCAGGAAATGAAGGAAGTGAATTCCAAAGAACTGATGTTCGAGGAAAAAAACTGGAAAAATAACAGTTTTTGGAGCATTTAGGAACAGTCACAGAAAAAGGATGAGACATAATTAAATGACGAGTAAACGAGAATGAATTTTAGTAGATTGCACAAGAGACGCTAGTTCTTTAAAGCAGTGCCAATTATAGTATTTGTAGAAAAGAGAAAGAGAAGCAACATTACAACGATGTGGTTATGGTTGAAGGTTGGCTGAAAGAGCAGGCCCAACTATGTTTACAATGCTTTTTTGCACCTTGTCTAAAAGAGAAAGAGCATCAATAGAAGATCCGCCCCAGATATGGCAACAGTATTCCATAAAAAGCCGGATTTGAAATTTATAGAGATAGAGAATAGAATCCGGAATAAGAAAGAGTCGAGCTCGATAAAGTGATGCAACCTTAGCAGATGATAATTTTGCAACGGATTTGATATATGGTTTTCAAGACAGATCGGAAGTAAGAGTTAATCCTAGAATATGAAAGGTAGATGACTCGTCGAGTACATTACCGTTCATAAATAAAGATCTAAATTATTGCGATAACAATTGGCTGAAAAAAATTGTTTTATCTGAATTAAAGTTCACTAGCCACTGTGACCCCCACGCTGTAGCAGAAGTAAGATCCTTTTCAAGCTCAAATGCCCCCTCCAAGCAATCAGAGAGTGTTGGCTTCTTATCATGACAATAATAAATGGTAGTATCATCAGCGAACAATTCCACCTTAGATGTGAGAATATCTGGAGGTCGTAAATAATTTAACTTAACCTAAATTTCAATTTCAATTCATGTTATAAAATTTTAAAAATCTTTTAAAATGTTTTATAGAAAAAAAAATTTTTTATTTTGTCCTAATTATTTGGCTTCAATTATGCAAATGTTCCTTTTTTTTTTTTTTTGCCGTTTGATAATTTGCCTGTTGGAAAGTTCGCCGTTTGATAAATTTACAATGAATACATACTAAGTATATAAATTTAGGCCAGAGTAAGAAGACCACATAAACAAATATATACATAATCCGTTTTAAAATACATAAAAATTTTGCAAAATGCTAAAAATTTCTTTAAAAGAACGTGAAATCAAAGTTGATTTCTACTGATTTAAAATAAAAGTAATATACACATGCATATTAATGCATACTTATTTTTTTTATTAATTTTTAATATATCATTTAGTGATAGTAACAACACGCTTAAAAATAGTGTTGAGCCGTAGACTACATTATGTCGCGTAGAATACAACAATGAGTGTCGACGCCGGCTACACCAACACTATGTGGCTTTAAAAGCCATACTCAGTGTTGCATTCGTAAGGCTACATAAAATGTAGACTTGAAAGCCACACTTTGTGGCCTTTAATGCGACACTTTTGTAGAAATTTTTTCGGCATAATTGTTGCATTTAATCAATGGCTGTATATATAAGCTCTTTTTGCGCGACAAAACTGTTGTAAAAAAACCTCAAAATTAGTGTTGCGCTAAATGCAACACTATAGTTTATACACTAATCTGTGTTTTTCTAGACGTTATAAATGTTTTGATTTTTTGTAAGTATATTTATGCGTGATTTATTCCGCCCATTTAGGTCTTCACGTACTATGTATATAACCGGGCGCAATTAAATTATTCTAAATATTATACTAAATTACACATTGTCATTTAGAGTCATATACTAAATTACATATGTATATTATATTGGATTACAAGAAATAACGGAACGATATCACAATAAAATAATAAAAACTGAAATATAAATTTTATTTTAATTCCGAGTCAATGCATTGTTATAGTATTTCTTTTAAGTATATAAACTCAGTTCAAACTCAAACTCAATTCAGTGAATATTAAATAAAAAACAAGTCTTAAAACATTTATATGCAAAAGCGAGTCAAAACTTTGAAAAATAGATACCGCCGTCAGAGAAGAACCGTATGTCAACATTTTGTGTATTTTTTTTTTTGTCCATTATCAATAAATATTCAGGAGTGTGTGTTCCATAAATATACCACAACAATAAAATTTTAGGAAATAATTAAATAATCAGTCGAATTTTCTGGCAGAAAGTCTTCGCGAATTAAAATTTAAAACTTGATTTTCTTGGAAACACAAAAAAAAAAGACGGCCTCTTGGTTCTCGACTGACGATATAACAAAAATAAATAAGAAAGTGATAAAAATACTTTTTCGTTTCACAAACATATTGCTTAATTTAATCTTAAACTTTTGGTAATACTTTCTTTACAAGGAATTGACGATAATTCTTTTGCTGTTTATTCCAAGCAAATTTCCCATAAAAATATATACACAAATAAGTTCATGAGGAAAATTGACATTAAATACATAATAAGAGACTAGCAGCAACTCAAAAGCAAATCTAATACTCGGTATGGCTTCCAACCGTATAGCTGTATTATCGACTTATAATTAGAGTTATAATTAGAATTATAAATAGAGTGCCGCAACACTTGAATAAAATCAGTAAAAAAACTTTCTCCTTCTTCAATAACTCAAGGTGTACCTAAATGTTTAAGAAAAATTTTAAAAATGCAGAAAATACAAAGCTCAAAAAAGTAATACTTTTTGATTATAAACCAAATTTAACTTTAAAAAAAATGTATAGAAAAAACTTACATCCATTTCTCTATAAAATAAAGCCAAAATTGCATCAAAATCCATTCTTGGACTTTTCTTGCCCTTCTGTGGAGGTGCTATCATAAGAAAAGGGAGCGCCTTAAATGCAAGCAAAGTTGTATCTTCTAAATAAAAATAAAAATAAATCAGGGAACAACTTGTATATACTTATAAACCTTTATAGGTAGATTATAAAAAAACCTTCTTTTGGATTAAAAGGGTATATTACGTAAGGAACTAATAAATGAAATAAGATGAGAAAGAGAAACTTCGCACTTTAGCAGATTGGCACATAGTCAAGTTGCAGCAGCTTAGTACTTATGCAGATTGACAATTATGTTGTAAAAATTCTTATTTAAGTTATAAAGTTCTTATTTATTAATTCTCCCCACTTAGGGTAGTAGACATATATATACCTTCATTATATTAGTCTTCTGACAAAGTATTTTTGAACATTGAATCTCTTGCTAGTAAAAAAATGTTTTGTTTGCAAGTGTTAAAGCCATCATGCAATGTAATATTACTTGATACCTCTTCAATGAAATAAAACTATCTTTGAAATTCCCTCATTAGTTTCATATCTAGGAGGGCCCATGTTGCATGTTTCAGAAATTACAAAAAGAGAAATTTTTTCTAAGTGTTTATTTTGTTTATATAATGTGTCAAGAAAGTAGTGTTATACATTGCAATAAGCCACTCAAGTGAGTGGCTCATTGCAATGTATAACACTACTTTCAAACTTACTCTTAAACAATAATAGAGTGGAATCTGCTCTAATGTCATTGAAAACTGATAAAGCAGCATTAGCAATATCATTGCTTGAAATAACAGGTGATCAATGATCAGCAATGTTTGAAGAAATTTCAAAAAATTCAAGGAAAATCTATTTTTGTGAAATTGGCAAGCTTTGAAAAACTATTTCGAGCGCTGCAATATAGGAAACTAATGATTATGAAATATTGTTAACAGAAACAATTACTTCAGGTATAATGTAATAATGAACACTGCTGCTTGTTCACAATGAAGAAACTAACAAAGGATCAATATATTCTATTGTTTTTTCAGGATAAGTGTAAACTTAATAAGTAGAATTCTCTGGGAAACTAGGCAACAAATATTCTAAAAAATTAGGCAATAAATCGTTACGATTATCATTTAATGGATTACTATACATTTTGCTTCAGGATTTTTATCAATGAAATCATTATCAATATTATGGTAACATTTTACATGTCTAATTAGCGACATATAAGCTGTGCAGGTACATTTACAGCCATTCTGTAAACATTTAATTGGATAAACAATTTCGCCAATACTATTATGACGTTGAAGATGATTTTGAAAAAAAATTAATAGTTTCATAAAAGTACCACATATATAGCAAACAAACATTTTAATAACTTTTATCAGAAAATATATATATATATATATATATATATATATATATATATATATATATATATATATATATATATATATATATATATATATATATATATATATATATATATATATATATATATAATTTTTATAACTTCATAATAATGTTGTTAACGTAACTAAAATAATTTTATTAACATTTTAATACAATATATATATATATATATATATATATATATATATATATATACATATATATATATATATATATATATATATATATATATATATATATATATATATATATATATATATATATATATATATATATATACATATATATATATATATATATATATATATATATATATATATATATATATATATATATATATATATATATATATATATATATATATATATATATATATATATATATATATATATATATATATATATATATATATATATATATATATATATATATATATATATATATATATATATATATATATATATATATATATACAATAATAGCATTAGTCTAATTAAATAAAGTCACACAACTAATTCATGTAGTAATGTACCGAAGGTCTTACCTAATTTTTAACAACTGAAAATCGATATTTTCCTCGCTTAACATATTTAATACGATATTACTAAAATATTACAAACCAAATATTTCTTTATGAAAAAGTTAACTATGTATGTGTTTAAAATTACCATGCAGCAATAAAAGTTACACTAAAATTTTCAGTAAAACTGAACGGTTCATAAAAAAAAACATGTCGCTAAAATCATGATTCTAGCCTCTTTTCCAAATAATTCGATACGAGAATCCAAGAAAGTGCAACACAAGGTGTGGCTTTTTTTACGCATATAATGAAGTTTAATTTCATAATTACAAGTGTGGCTTTAAAGCGCACAAGCGTAGCCTTGAAGTCCACAATTTGTGTAGCCAAAAAGACGCTACACTAAGTGTCGTGTTTTTTGTCCACACTATTTTTAAGCGTGAACGTTTTTTTTTTTCTATTTTGAATTTTATATATTTTGAAGTTTAAAATAAAAAAAATTTGAAGCATGAGCGCCGACAGGGGAATGTAACCCCCCTAGCTTTTGAAAAAAAAAAGGAAATGGAGAAGAAAAAAATAAAAAAAAATCTTTCAATAATAAGATTTATTTTCCTTAACATTTTTACTAATAACTGATTATATCAATTATTCGTATAATAACATCCGTGCACTGCTAGATATAGTTTTTATTACCTAAGTTTAATAAATAAATCTAATCAATCATCTTGACCGACTACGATTGCCTGTACGTGCCCCCCCCCTCCTTCTTTTTTTTTTTAAAGGACTTTATTTTTTAACTACATCCGAAATGTTGTTTCGGATGTAACTACATCCGAAAAATAATTTATTTATCAAAATTAATTATTTGAATTGTGATTTTAAAACTGATTGCTTTAAAAATCGTAAAAATAGACTCTGTTTGTTTGCAAAAACATAATAACATTTAAAATACGATCAATATAGATAGTTTTCATTGTCAAAAATTTAGATCTTTTTTTATGGAACGGTTTAGACTGCTTAGAACACTTGGACATTAAATCTGGACATCTTTGGCACTCATTGGCATCTAAAAGTTCATCAAACTACTTTATTAAAACTCTGTCTTTATCCTATAATGAATAGACCCCTATAAAATAGAGCTATCGCTTTCACTCACGGCCAAATTGACATGCCTGTTTTAAACCTATTTAAAAAGCAGTAAAGCAATTCACTGCCTATGAGAGTATGAGAGTATGAGTATGAGAGTATGAGAGTAAAGCCATTCACTGCCTATGACAGTCATTCACTGCCTATGAGAGTAAGGTGTGTCAATTTTTACTTTTTTTACAATTTTAAAAACGGCAAGGTGACTTTTGGTGAAGAATTTTACGGGGATTCCAAATCTGAACAAAAAATTAAAAAAAAAATTATCTTGCTGGGTGGGTCGGCGTTGTTTTAAATGGAAAAATGACTAAAACATGACTAATTAACGAGGGGAAATTTTAATTTAAAAAATATATATTTTTTCAAAATATTTGAAATACGTAATAAATATTATGTTGAATTTAAAAAATAATTTAAAAAAAATACAAAATGTCTTTTTTATATTTTGTTCATCAAAAATGAAATCAATTTTTTATCAACTTTACCCGATTATTAAACATTTCAACATACCCCCGATTATTAAAATATGTTTTGGTTATTTAGCTACAATCTTTTTAATAACAAGAAGGTCTTACGTAGGGACTAAAAGTGATCAGGTGAGGAAACGGTGTCATAATTCGACCCTTAAGTTGCCTTTTATCCGACTTAAAAAAAAGGTATTGCATAATAAACTAACTAAAATTATGCCTAGAAACAGCTTAATTTATTTTTAAAAAAATTACTTTGAAACAATAAATGTACCCTTTTAATTAAATAACTTGTAGACTACAATAATCAATATACAAAATATTGCTATAAAAAAAACAGTTTTTGTAATATAATTAGAAAAATTATCCAAACATTATCAAAAGTATGCATTGATAATTCGAAAATCATACTAAAAAAATCCAGAGACTTAAATGAAAATTTCCATATTATCTTCCACAATTCTTCGGCAGCTTGGGCATTGAAGAAGTTGGTCATCAAGCAAAGCCTCTGCTAGCATGGTTTCATGACATTGCTTGCAGATTTGGATGTGTTTGCATGGCAGTAAAAGAATATTGCAAAACCTGTCCATGCAAACAATGCATGTTGTTCCCAGGTTATGTGTAAATCTGATTGGGATTGGTGGTTGTTGAATGATTGGTACTTCATCTTCATTTTCACTAAAACTTTCACAATCTTCTCCAGAGTCATCATCTCCTGAAATGTGTTGTTCATCAATCATTTCTAGAATACCGTCAATTTCAGGTCTGGATTTTTTAACCTTATTGTATAGGTATGATGATGCATTGATAAGGTGCTCTGTGCTGAACTCACCTGACTCGAGTTTTTCTTCATTTTTTATCATGATACTTAAGTTGTGTACTTTTGCAACCGACATCTTCAATCTGAGGTCGTTTCCGTTGTCAATTTGCAAGATATCCACCTCAGTTGGTTTGATGATTGATTGCACAAGTCCCTCCACAAATCTATAAAACAATAAATGTGCAATTAATCTTGTCATAAACATATTTAAAATAGTTTTGTTAAAATTATATATTCATATACATATATATATATTGTAAAAATTAGTTTATCTTTTAGTACAATTTCATACATATAATATAACTTTTATGACTTTATTTCCTGTACAATATAATCTTGGAGATTAAATTGAGAAATCTCAGATAAAACAGTGTTAACATTTCGTATACCTAAAAAATGCTGGTTGCTGACTCAGTGATTTCTTCATTTTTGAGTGCAGACTTTCACATGAGTTATTGGTTTTGAATCTTATACTATATACTAAAGGAAGTAGCCTTTATTTGGGGAACCCAGAAACGCATCAAGTAATCGCGATGAAATTTCCTCATTTTAACTCTGATCAATTTGTCATTCAGGATTCTGATGTCTTCCCAGAGTAAACGTACTTCATTTCTAATTTTGTCTTGTGGTAACAAAGGCAATGCCATGATCTTACGACTCCACCTGTTGATCAAGGCGTTGTTATTATATTCAACCAAAAGGTTGTACTTAGGTGACTTAACATTTTTGAAAATAGCTTGGCTGAAGTGGAACCTACAATCTGCGATTCTGAAAATTGGGAAAACCTTTTTAAGAGCCCATCTTAGAGCAACTTCAAAATCAGACATGAAAATACAAGGTTTCAACATTGAATAGTCTTGTTGCAGCTTCAAAAAGATTTTTTGATATGATTCTTTGCTCTTACCTGTCATCAGAATATGAAAAGCTGGTAAAATAATGCCTTTATATTCAAAATGAATATTGAGCAGCTGGCTAAACTGACCGGGAGCTACTTTAAAAGTGGCATCTGCAAAGTACAGAGAACTTTCTCCAAGTTTAGAAAAAACAACATCAGATGCAAAAATCATTGCACGGTGAATTAACGCTCCATAATTGCATGTAACAGTGCTTTTGTAATACTCTGAGTATTTTACTGTAGGTTCTGCCATTGCTGATGTGCACTCTTCTGCGTTCAATGGGTTCTTAGGATAGGTATTCCTTTGACAGTTTTTTAAAGTTGACAAGATCTCTAAAATATAAACAAGTACTATAAAAAGCATGGAAGAAATTTATGAAAACATTATTAATGGAAATGACATTTATTTATATTGTTACATTATATTATATATATTGTTATATATAATATAATGTAATATAATATTATTAATATATATATATATATATATATATATATATATATATATATATATATATATATATATATATATATAACTGTATACATATATATATATATTATATATATAATATATATATATATATATAATATATATATATATATATATATATATATATATATATATATATATATGTATTATTATTATATATTTATATATATATATATATACATATATATATGTATATATATTATATATAATAAATTTTAATGTGCCCTTTTACCACCTCAAAATATATTATCTTGTAAAGCCTATTAAAAACCCTGTCCACTGGCAAACATGTTGACAGCTTGAAAATTTTATGATAAACTTATTATAGGAATTTTTGTTAAAACCATTACAGTAGAAAGTTTTTTTTTATATTTTGTGACATAGATAGTAGACACATAATATTTTTAAACCAAGGAAGATAAAATTTTTTACTTGGATATGTAAGATGAGTTTGGGTATTTTTTGAAGCCGATGATATCTGCTCATCATACAGCCTTTTTAAAGGTTTTGTCGTTGTTGCTGCCTCTTCTTTCATGGAGTTGATTTTTTCTTAAGTTTCCCATTCTGATGCTTAGGTTCCACAAGTATGAATCACTAAAACAGTAAAATCTCTTGCACCATAAAAAGAGGATAATTTTTCATCATACTCATCATATAAGATAAAAACATTCATTGTTCATCAAATATAGTTTCCTTGACTGATACATTTTAGGACTGTAACATTTGACAATTCTTTATTTAAAGATAAGCTAACTTAACCTAATAAGTTTATTAAGTTAGGTTAATCTTTATATTAAAATTGGTAAATGGTCCGTAAACTAACAATGACTAACTTCATTTTTATCAACTGTAACCTTTGCCGATTGACAATCGGCAAACCACACAATAGCAATATGTGTTAATAGAATACCTATTATTGTGTAAGATTAGTTTTTCGCCATCAATGTGTGCGATAGAGTTGCATTGGGTAGTTTGATATTTACAACATCTAACTTGTTGAACTTCGTTTTCAATTCTGGAGCAAACATATGCATGATCACCACAGACATAATATACAGAATTCTTTCTCTCGTTAATGTAATTTTTCCTCTCGTTAATGTAATTTTTTTAATTTAATTTTTTTTTACAAAAACAAGTATCTTTTTTGAATTCTTTGGTGTTTAAAATATCTAAAAAGTACGTTTGTGAAAAATCGAAATAATGAAGATTATTTATAGATGTACAACCTTAAGTATTCGTGCTCAATATGTGCGCACAGACCCTAAATCACCTGAAACTCTACTAAACATTACTTATGGCTTGCCACAAGGTTCTATACTCAGACCTCTTTCCTAATATATGTCAAATTTATTTTTATTGCATAATAGCATTACTTTATTATTTGAAATGATGAAATAAGAACTTTAAACAATTTCTAACTGGTTCGAAGTAA